TTAAGTTATAAACCCCCCAAAAGTGGCTTTAAGTTTAAAATTTCCCCTCTCAAATCTTTTAGTGTCTCAAAAAAATAAAAACCCACATGTATAACTTGGGCAGTACTTTTCATTATATAATTGCTAAATAATAGAAACTTAATGGTGTAACCAGATTTATGTTTTGAATTACATCATTGTGAAACATAATTACACCACTTGCAGTTAAACTAAGAATGCAAATGAATAAGTTAACTACCCTAATATTCTGGTTCTTTCTTCCCTCATGTCTGTCCTTTCTCCCTTCCTTCCTTCCTCTCTTTCTCCCCACCTCCTTCCTGCCTTCCTTTCTTCCTTCCTCTTTTCCTCCTTCCTTCTTCCCTTTTTCCCCCTTTCTCTTTACTTCCCTCCCTTTTCTTTCTTTTTCTTTTCTCTCCACTCTCCTTTTCAACTACTTTTTATTTTTCTTTCTTCCTTCTTTGAAAAAAAAATTAGGGGCAACAAAAGGAGTCCCACAAATGGAGCTTGTGGAAAATATAACGCTGAAATGAATAGCTAAAAAAAAATTGCTATAGATCAAAAGATAAATCGATTTTATAAAACTGCTATTCTGAAATTGCAACAATCTTGTACAGTCAGGACTGATAAAATGGCGTAATCAGACATTTTACATGTCCATAAATGTAAAATCATCTACTTGAACATTATATGCAATACATTCACACAAAAAAGCAAATACTGTAGCCTTATTTGACAATATTGAACTCATAAATACTCATGATTTCACTCTGTCCAGGGGCCTAAGGACTAGGAATGCTGCTGTGATACAGAAAAACATAGCGAATACCTCCTCTATTTAAAAATGTCACTCAAGAAAGTCTCTTCTAACATAAAGGCAAATACATATAGCTACTGAGCTATGACTGTACTTCTGTCACATTCTATGGGAAAAACACCAGACTCCACAAATTCGGAATCATGACAACACTTTGAACTAATTATTTGGTTCATCCATAGTTTATACCTCAATTTACCTCACATTTACCCTACAAACCTTACAAAGAGGAGGTATTTTTAACTCTAGGAAAGCGGTCACTGTATAATATGCATTCTTGATCTGTTTCTTTCTCCCAAACAATGTTACTGATGGTGAACACTTTTGTGGTAGCACCACTATTTCTAGTAAGTAGATTATTATGGAGTGTGCCACTTTAAAGCTGCAATACAAAATAATGCTTTGTGGTTTACTTACCAATTCCACAAAGAATTTTTTTAAAAAGCAAATAAATAATAAAGTTAAATGCCATATTTGTTTTAAAAACCCATTATATATCAGTCAAATAATGTCATAAATCTGTTGCAGTTAGTGGATTTAATAGCATTATGTCATATTATTGCCATTTTGTGGAAATACTGTATATTTGTGCCCCCTCATTTCAGATTCATTTTTCTAATTAAAATAGATTTCTATATAGTATACTTTGGAACTAAATTTTACTTGAAAAAAATCACAATTTTCAAGCTCTCTCTTGTAGGGCAACATATTAGATACCTTAAATATGTACAACAACTTTAAAATTTCTTGCATGTAATTTTATTTCTAGGATCATCGTTGTTGTTATGACGTGCAAAAGGGGACTGTTTGTAGAAATCTAGGTGTACTGACATTGGTAACTTCATCAAACCTGTAAAATGGCTTTCATGGCTATGGTCTTTCTTTAGTAAAGAGTAAAACTATCAAACTATTCCTGTAATGTAATACTTAGAGTAACAGCATTTTCCTTCAAAATTGTAAGATTTTATTCTTTATAATAGAGATAATTTAATATTCACAATAATTTAATAATTAATATATCTTAAGATAGTCTCATTACTGGTGTCTTGTTTTTATTTGATCATGTATCATAGATCATGTTAGAAAAAATAAAGCATGGTAATTTTTTTGGCTTCATTTATTTGAACTGAAATGGCTATAGAGAGAGATTTCATTGAAGAATTAGTTATTTCAGGGATTGATCTGCTACATACCAATATATGATATTTGTTATAGTATATTTTGGAACTTTTTTTTAAATATAACATGTATTCCAGACTATCAACTGGGTGATGTTTTAAGATGAGAAGCATGCACAATGCTCCTGTCCACAGGATCACTGTCTTTGCCATACTAAGTTACCTACCACAAAACCAAATTAATTATGAGCACTCACCAACTCATGTGACGTAAGGTGATGTGTCCTTTCTGACACATTGTCTTAAAAATCTTAGCGTGGAAGAGTGAAAGGAAAAGATGCTGTATTGCTAGGCAATCCCCTAAGTGGACTGTGCTGTCATTTTGAAGGGAATTATTTCCCACAAAGGAGCTAACATTTAGCTACAACTAAAGAAATCATACGGTATATTTATTGTACTATGTTATTAAATTGTTTCTCATCAGAAAAACTGAGTTATTGTGGGGCAAAATTCTCAAACCCCACTGGTAACGAAGGAAGAGATGTTTACAGTTCAATAGCTCCTTCATTCTTTATAGATGTAGAGTTTAACTTTATCATTATGGTTTATTTTTGCTTTCAAATTGTAGGATTTAGCAAAACATTTTATATTAGTTGGAGACAAAGAGAAAAGTATTATTTTATGAAGGCACACCCATGCTGAACTTACAGGGAAAGAGAAGCAGAGCTGCACAGCCAGTTATATTACAAGGCTCATTCCTGAAACCTGAATATCATGCGAGCAGAAAAATCTAGATATGTGTTATATTTTGAAGAAATGATCTGAAGGCAATATTATTTGCTTTTTTTATCAAAAAAGAAAAAAATGCATCTTTGTAAATGTGGACTGACTCGTATTGAAACAGGGAACAGAACGCTTGTATTGCAGCCTTAAAGAATCACATATTCACTGCAATATTCGTTTTTGTAAACTACAGCCTGCAACCTAGCAGACCATGACTGAATGCTTTTGAAAAGTTGTAGATTACAAACATGAAATCACAATTAATATCCTCTAAAAGTAATTTCAGAGCTTTCACGTCTTAAAAAAAGGACAATGTGTACTGCTTCACAAGGTAATGTAGCTAATCAAAAAAGAGTAGAATTAAAGTATTTACATAATGAGCAATTCTACAGAAGGCGATCATCCCCATGTAAGCACTGCTGATTATATCCCACGCTGCTTTTAACAAACTGTACCAGATTGGATCCAGCCATCAGCACTTTCAGAGAATCCTTAAAAGCCTTTTATGGGTCTTTAAATTTATTGTAGAATGGCATTCTTCAGGTAGAATATGCTGGTGAAAGAGGACAGTGTCAACACAAGGTACCAGCAGGAGAAAAGAACATCAGCGCTCCCGGTAATTCCATACTGGGCTGTACTTGGAGCTGGAAAGAAATGGAAAAGATTAAATCAAAATCTAATTTGTGTCTTTCAGGATCTTGACAATAATAAAAAAGCAGATGGGTGTATTGGGGAGAGCACTCGCATTGCTGTCAGATTTGGGTGCACATCTGATTCTGCTCTATGACAATGTGTGGCCCATTTGAATAACTTCTCTGAGCTTAAGTTTTCTCAAGGGCAAAATAAAAATAATAGAAATAATATAATCCACCTCACAGGACTATGGTAAGAATGGCAGATGATGCACATATAACATATTGCACTGGGCTAGACATGTGCTAAGTACTTGGTAAAAAACCACTAACATCATTACTCCTCTTATATGTATTGTAAATATTTTTATTAGTGGA